CCGCACGGCTCGGCCCGGCCCGGCCCGGCCCCGGCCGTGCCACCGGGCTCCAAACCCCACCGGCAGCATGGCTGCTTCGTCAGGCTCCTGACATCAACCAGATCTTTTCCAGCTTCCCATTTCATGCTAGTCCAGACTACTTTCCTTAAAAGGAATAACATTTTGCTTTGCTTTGCCCAGGGCTGTCTCATCAAGGAATGCCAAGAGCGCCCAAATATGTCCAACCGGTGCTTCCATGATCATCTTTGTTGTGTGTTACTGCTCGTAAGCAAACCACTGGATTCAGACAATGCTCGATGAGTCGTTCAAGCCCGTAACTTCTCTTATGGAAAAGGTGTTTTGCAATTGTAAAATGGCACTGGGAAAACAGCCAGGTCTCAGGCAGGATATATTATCTCATGTTTGCATTCATTTTTTCTCAAAACCTTCCATGACAGAAGATGCAGGAGATGTTGTTTCAATGATCTATCTCAGAAATCAGAAATACAGTCATATAAGTGACTCTATGTCCTGATGTTCAACCATGAGCAAAATTCCATTCAATAGCAGATATCCTCCTTTACTCCCATCAGGAAAATTAGAAATGGATGAGTTATCATCCATGTTGAACAGACCAATTTCCAACTGCATTTATATTTTGCCTCTCCAGCAGCTTAACAGAAAGTGCAGCAAAGCGAAACCAAGTGATATCCTGAGGGCACAGGTGATGCCGGAACTCTTATGTGAATCTTGCAGCTGGAGAAGAAGGCTGAGGTGAAAAGACTATGATACAGAAACCTCCAATGTACTTCCAGCTTGGCCACCAACCTGAATGAAACCTGATGTGTCCTCCTATTTCTTCTAGCCACATCTTTTCTGTAGTACCATTTTGAGGGCCTTAAGGGTATATTTTTTACACATATTTACAGTGAGTACCACAATGGCTTTTTTGTGGGAATATGATAAACAAATGCATAACTGAAGTTTGTTGTGTTTTAACTAAATGTGAGCAGAGAAAATTAATTGGCAGGGGGATGGGGGGAAGATATTAAGAAGCTTCACATGAAAATGGTCATTCCATGAGGATAGATAACATAACAGAGAGACTAAACACATCCATGATTCTCTGAGCAGGATTCACTGTGAACAAAACCCAACAGTAGCTAATGCCAGTTTGTACAGAAACCTAATGTCAGGGCTGGTGACAACTACTACCTGCACAAGTAACTTGGAAGGCCAGAAATCCAGTTCTGGAGACCAAGCTGTCATAAAGGAGATCTTAAATTACCTTTTTTAATTTGTGAACTCCTGACTGTCACAGGCAGCACCTGACATGTTACAAGACCGGCAGAGCCTGCAAAAATGGCTCACAGGGGCATGACCTGAGAGGCCGCAGATTTAACTACCATCTGTAATAAATGCTTACTGTAAATATCTCTTCAATGCCAAGCAAAACCAAATGCATCAGTCAATCTCTGTGTCTCTTTTTGTCTTCCACAGAAGATGTTGAACCTCTGGATATCCAAGCAGGGATTTCAGCAAAGTAACTCATGTTCCAATGGCCCTCTTCCATAACCGCAATCAACAGCACAGTTCTTAATGACATTTAAATGGAGCTGATTTTTTTAAAACTTTGAAATAGTGTGAAGACACTCTGAATTCTGGATGAGGTTTTTGTTGCTACTTAGATGAAAAACGTGACTTTCTGAGTTATTCAAACATGGGAATTAAACCCACAAAGGCAATAAAACCTCTTGAATAATCACTGTTCAGCAAAAGCTTGCTGATTAATAGCCATTAAAGAATACAGAACCACAAAGTCATTGACTTCCATTAAAGTGATAGTGGATACTGCTGGGTTCTGAGTTACAAGGTGCTACAGAAAAAGTGTGTTTGAATTTTTCAAGAACCATAATCATTAAAGAAAAGAACTTGAAACTTGTGTGCTTTGTGTGTACTACTTAAAGACTAATTTTTTTTTACAAATTTTATTATAGTGGAGAAAAAAGAAAAGGTGGAGAAAAGGCATTTCACATCAGTAACTACTTCAGAAAGCATTATCTGGAGGCCAAAGAAAGTGTGCAACCATCTGTTAAATAGAATATACCTTTAGATGGTCCTAACTGTGGCTTATTTCAAATAAAAGTTTTAGCAGTGAACAGGAGATGTAAAAGCTTAAACTTTAAAAAGAAAGATAGCCATCATGTAGGAAAGGCAGCCTGGTTTCCAGACAAAATGTTTTCAGAATCAGAATATTTTCAGTTTCTAATTTCCAAATCTGTCTAACAAACTCCAGTATGCTAGAAGATTTTAGCAGCTGGAAACCAATGTTCTGCTGGAAGGAGCAGCACAGGAACACTGTTTGACAAACGGGTTTTTGAAACCGCAGGACACTGAGTCCCACCACAGCCAAACTATGGACCACAGCAGAGCAGGTCTGGTGGCAGCAACCAAAGTCGGCACATCCCAGAGATTGCTAGACAAGTCACAATGCTGAGGCAAGTCTGAGGTCAAGCCAGGAAGTGAAGCTGGAAGACCAGAATCTTCATTAGAGGGGCACATGGCAAGGCACAAGCATGGCTGTAACAGCTCTGGAAAGGGCAAAGAAGGAATATCAGAGCTTAATAAAGCTCTGGGGAGCCCAAAGGAGATTTCTTACAGCTTTCTCACAAAGCTGTCTCCTCAGCAGCCTCACCCAGGGTCACACCATTGCGTCGTGTTTGAGTTGCCTTGACCACTTGCCAAAGCCATGGGAGCAGAGTCTTGGCCCTCATTTATATACTGATCAAAGTCTTGTGTCATATTCTCTTATGTCTCCTTTTTCTGCACAGAGCTGGAGGATGACAGTGACACATCTCTCCCAAACATGTCATAAGACTTGACAGATTTTCTTAATGCACGGTATAAGAATTTGCCTCTCAATGTGATTGAAATGTGAAGGATACACATCTGGAAGCCAAAAATGCTGGACACATACTGCATTTAAGTGAAGGATATAGTATATTTATGAATCAAATACAGTGTTTCCAAAACACAAGTGGATGATGAGCCTGCAAAATACTCTCCCACACCAGCTAGAACACTGAAGTCAGTAGTGAGGGTTGTGAAGCAAAACATTTGCTAAGGAGAAGAGACCTGATGCTAATTTACTAAAAATTACAACACCCCCAAATGAAGTTATCCATTCTTACACCATTATAATGAGGATAGTCTCCACTGGCGTGTCCTCTATTATAATGACTATACGGCTTTATATTGATAAAGTGTCTATAGAGGTACTAAGTTCAGCTGCCTCTAAACCCTAGTCTTTCGTTTTTTCCTTCAGTAAAGGAAAAATGAAATAATGTTTAAGAATGCCTTTCACTCTAAGCCATTTTACAAAAACTGATAAAAAGATATATATAGTGATTAGTTCACCAGCCTTTGAAATGCTGACATATTTGAGGTGAGGTACAAAAAAGGTTTATAAATCAGAAAGGCAAGCCACATCACCTTTTCAACATGTAAGCCATAAACTTTCCTCTTAAATTACAGCAGATGGATACAGCTATTTTACACAGCTGTAAAAAAAAATTTTAAAAATTGTATTTATATACCCTTCTTTGCATACAATGTCATTTGCCAAAAAGCAAGTGGAGTTGACCAGGCTCTGCCTTGTTCCAGATACCTTGTTGGCTTTTGGCAAAATCTCCTCAGTTAGCAATGCATGGAAATAGCTAATTTTCAACTCTGGTATTCCTAGAATTTTTATGGACAGCAGAATCTGGCAGAAGACTTTTCTAAACGAAGTGTGCAAAATCTTTGTGTACTCCCTAGATAAAAAAAAAAAAAAAACAACTCAAGGCTTGACATAAAGTAAACATTGATTCTACTTTTAATACTACCTATTAGACAACCAGAAAACAAACAATTAATCCATTGTCTAAACTTCAAGGCGTTATTTTGCACAGCCATTTCTTTTCATGGCTTGTTGCAGAAACAACAGAATTGTAGCTCTAGGAATCATTAAAATCATGAATGAAGATTCACTTGAAGCAAAAAAAAAAATCCTTTTTTTAAGTGTAAGTTTAAATGTTGCAAGACCCACCCTCATGCAGCAGGGAGAGCATTTTTGATGAGGCTCTGAGGATTCCCCTAAAACCACAGCTTCCATACAGTGTCCATCCAGGCAGCACATATATACCCAGCATTTGGCCTGAAGTTATTCTCTAAGCGGATATGTAAATTCACAAGGTTGATGTGAGGTACATTCATGTGCCCAGATCCATCAGAATAAGCACATGAGTGTGCCCTATTAGCCAGTTCCTCTTGAAACTATTCTGTAAGAATCATGTAAATATATTTTTGGGTTCTCAGAGGTGACTTCTTGAGCAAAATACACAGGTCTTCAGGAGAGATTCTGAAACATCTAAGATGTAAACTCCTGTATTTAAAGCATTCCTCTAAGCTCCCTGTGTAAAAGAAGAATATAGAAATGGAAAGAAAGAGCTCCTTTCCAGGCAGTGAGTCACCTGATATTAGCATAGACGTCTAAATAGACCACATAAATCGTGCCTCAGAAGTGTCTTTTTCTCTGCATGAACTATAAAAAGAGTCTAAAGTGGCTCAGATGTAAATGTCTGCAGATGATCAAAGTGAGGTGAGGTACATCCACCACTGGAGCACGGGAAGGTGCAGTCAGACAGCAGGTCAGGCTCAGGCCCTGAGAGCACACACCACGTTCACGACCAGATTCTTGTGCCTGTTCTGGTGGTAGCTAATGCTGCAGCATTAATGAGCCCTTCCTCTACCCTTCCCACAGTGAGCTGCTATTCAAAATAGTCTTAAGAACTCAATCAACTCTGTGCCAAGTATATTAAAAGCAAAAAATTGTATTTATTAAGAAGTTACATATTTATAAGGAAACAGTTCTGCATTTTTTTTTTCTAAAACTTAATTGGTGCAAAATCAAGCAATCATTTCAATTAATTGCCTGTGAAAAAAAGTCAGGATTCAGTGTTTTGCTGACCTTTACATGAACAAGATGTAGTTAAGCTGCTGCTTAGATTCACACATGATGACTTTTTACATCCATATGGTACTTTGTGGTCATGTTAACATGAACTCTTCATCATGAGCTTTTGAAGTAAGCCTTCCAGTTGTCCCTTCTTATTATGTGCTTTGTTTAATGTAACAGAGCAGTCTAAGGGCTCATGGACTGGATTTCTCTCAAGGAAAAACAGAAGCTGAAGTTGCATTCCAGGACTGCACCCAAGGCGTTACAATGACTATCAGGTGATCCACATGTGATGTGGACATCAACTCATCAGCACCAAATATTTTGCTCTATAGACCTGTGCTGACCCGTGTGACTTGTTAAGATAAATACAGCCCATGCCAGATTGAGGTTACAGTCTTGAAAACTGTCTCAGTATTGTCCTGAGGGCCAGAGCTGAAAGACTGCACTGAAGCTTTAAGAGAGTTAGACTTTGTAACTAATTAAAGGCTAGCATGATGCATGGCATGTTTCACAGGGAAGTTTCACACTTCATTTAATAGTTACCAGCTGTAAATAATGTACATGATTCTATCTTGTGTTTATAAACTGAAGGTAGAACTTTTTTAATACTCTGGAGGATCAGAAAACTTGTGTGTAACTGTATTTGCTGTAGGTTCTGTGTGACTGAAACAACAAACTTCCTATCAATATTGTTGGGAAGCAGATTAACTGTACAGTGGACACAATATTCATCCATTGTTGTGCTCCATATTTCTAGTTTGGGAATTACATTAATTTGTCAATGATCAGGTCATCTTAATAAAACCCTTCATTGTTTAAACTGTCATTAAAGTACAAAACAATGAATGGTTTATATGCTCAGTCAAGAACGACCATTTGTAATGTACTCTCATGATAGTGACATTTTCTTGTACGGCTAGGATATCTAAAAGCCACTTAGTCATGTCATTGGTATTAAGGTTAATGATTTATTTTCCTGTGCTCCATTGCTTAACTCTGACCTGAAGACAGGTAACCAACAGGTAATGGTATAATTAGGTGAGTATTGTACCAAACACTGATGATGCTTCTGCAGCAGAAGCATCTCTAGTTCTTAAATGCTACCTCATTGGTCTTGTTGGGCAGCTCAGGAATGGCACAGACCTGTTTCAGTGTGAAATACAACTACCACTTGTAAAGACAACTACACTTGTAAAACTTGACAAAGATTTTGTGTATTTATTAATGTCTCTAGCTGTTTCTCCTATATTGCCTTGTGTTTCCCCTCAATATTAAGTCTCAATGCCCACAAAGGTGTTACTACAAAAATATGTGTGCCTATTGCCCAATAAAACAGGTAAAATTGAGGAAAAAGCTTCTGAACTCAAACTGAAGCCGTTTCCCTCAGTAGAAGAATTAATTCAAGAATCCAGCCAAGAGCTTTCAAGAAATAAAACATTACTCTGGGAACATAGTATCTCTGTACTTAGACTGAGGACAATTTAGGTGCAAAGTCCATAGTCTAAATCTTATTTGGCTGACTAAATTAGAAATGCTTGAACATTAGAAGGAAGATGAAATAAGCAATGAATGACATAAACATCAGATAAATAACTGAGGATCAGACAAAATATATTTCTTCTTCATTATTTTTTTTTACCCTAAGTGCTATTACCTTGCTTTGTTATTGGTTTTGTTGGTTTGGGTTGGTTACTATTTTGGTTTTTTTAGTTTGTATTAAACACCTTTAAAAAAGGAAATTTGCAAATAAAGGGCTGGAGTTATGCAACAAAATAAACTGATGGAAGCTCCAATCCTGTAGCTATGCTATTCAATTGCCATGACAGAAGCACATGTAGGCATCCTTCTCCTGACTCCTTGCACCCAGTGATTGAAACCAGCACTTCCTGAAATCAGGACCCTGCCCTAACTTCAAACATGCTCCAGGATGGGTTTCATT